GGAAGTACTTTCGAAACGTCGTCCTCTACATTTGTAGATTTCTACAACAGGCAGTTGCTGTCCATTAGAAACTTAGATTCACGTGAATGTCGTTTTTTTCCTTGTGACATATTTATTTATATATATATATACCAGTGAGGCCTGGTAACTATCCTAGCCCGAGGGTCCGTTCAGTCCTATCTACGCCACTGATTCAGAGTATGATGGACGATGAGTTTCCCATTATAGACGTTCAACCACTACCCACTGAAAAGACAGTAAACATCACATTCTCAAGAGCGATACACTGTTTTACATATAAGTGCTTGTTACTTATCTGAAAGTATTATAATCAGGTACATAAGTATATTACCAATTTTAACATAACTTCTTGTACACGGACATGAGACTGACTTAAAACACACACACACACACACACACACACACACAGTCTTTTGAACAATACAACCTGGAACTAAACCTCAGGTCCCCAGAAACTTTCAATTTCTAAACACTCTGTGGTGCTATTTGGGTATATTTTGAGATTTAATTGGGAGTTCATTTAGAAGTATGAAATAAAACATTCACAAAGAAGCAAATCACGCATATTCATTCATTTAAACTTATTATTCTGTTTGGAAGGAAATGTATAGAGTAAAATGACCATTTATTGTTTGTTTTTTTGACAGCTTACACCATTAGCTTTGACCTCTCTGACGTACATTAAGGTTACTCAATATAGTGATCAGTATGGGGATACATAGACTAATTAGGCCTAAGGCACTGCCATTAGGGCAAAGTTTAGAAATTAGATGAATCCGATAGGCCTAGAGATGTACAGTAAATTTAAAGCATGACGTATAGTCAATATTAGTAATACGTTACGCAGTATTGCGCTTAGGCCGGCAGTAGATTTAGGGCTTACAAGGTAACTTTTATTTGTATATATATTATGCTTTTTTATTTTTAAGATATTGACACCTTTTTAATAAAGTCATCCCGAATGCTCTCAACAACACAGCTTTTCCATTGTTGATTGGGTAATTTCTTATGTCAATAACAGTAGAAGGCACGCCCTGTTGTGATCTGATTGGCTCGTCTACGAAGATTGGTTTCCAAAAATGTTCTAAGTCCTTATAAGTCAATCATCGTAACTACACTTTATTTTATGAAGACTCCCTGTCACAATCCATAACTCATGAAGACGTATCCCGTGTGTTACTCTATGTACGGTGCATATTCACCCCCCCCCCCCAACAATATGTATAAACATGTAAAATTCACGTGAATTGTAACACAGGAGTGTTAGTATGGCCACCATATTTAATGTTATCGTTCCACACAAAATAAAACTTGCAGAAAAAACTCATGACTGGGCTGTCAGTAAAAAGATATACAGTAAGCTGTAATACAGCTTGGCCCTGTTGTAGAATTCTGGTGCTGGCAAGCCAGGTTCAAATCTATGCAATACTACAAAATATTACCTGCACTTTATGCTGTGGGTGCATTATAAGAGTGACAATCATTACTTCTGCATGGCTAGTGGGGAGGGTTCTGCTGATTTGCTCCCTTCCTTCTGGTAAGTAGCTCAAAGTTATGTACGGCAGTAGATAGTTGTAATAGCTTTAGCATACATAAAAATAAAACAATTAATTTAAATTGTACCGATGATGATGCAACATTTCTAGAACATGTTAGATTAATAGTAAGTATAGTTAGAATGGGGGACTAGTATTATAAAACATTATTATTAAAGGTGTCGTTAAGTATCCAACTTATTCAGGTTTGTTCGAGACATCTATGCAAAGCTATAAATTAGCCATTCCTATTTTTTGAACTGGTAGATTATAGAAAAGGCACTCTAGATGGAACTGTCCATCACTATTATAATGTATTCACAGCCCTTAAGTACACAGCAATATGATTTTTGTGGCAACGAGATGCAAACCATGGATTTTCAGTTCTATAATTGAGCATGCTAACCCTTAAGCTATGCCCAGCTCGTTTCCACTTTTTACCCAAGTACAAAAAGTATTCTTTCCCCATGGATTTCATTTATAATTATTACTAATTAAATAATGTTGAATGATTCTTACGAACTTATAGTATTTATTGAAATCTCTAAAGAAATATTAAAAGTAGGTAAACATTTATCTGAATTTAATTTCAAAAGCCAAAAACTTGAAAAAAACATTTCAGTGTTTTTCAGAAACACATAAACCGTGTTTTGGGGTTGTTATTTTTTTTTTTTGAGTGATTCAAACTTCACACAGACCACTAAGATAATTTTCTTTTTACTGACATTCTGTGATTATACACTTTGATTTCATGAAGATTTTTATTAATCATTAAAGTTCACAAAAAAAAATGTTGATAAAAAGAAAATGTTAACCAAAATGGTTGATGTCACACACACTGGATGCTCGGCAGAAGAAATCAATCAAAATGAGATTTTATTTTTTTTATGCACAAAAGAAGGTTTATTTTTATTCAAACATTAACAGGTTTTGAATCACAGAACTGTTGTATACATATCCATACTCCAGAAACATAAGTTTACACAAATAGTGTAGTTTCACAAACATTTTTATTTTAAACGGAGAAGAAAACAAGAGCCAAGAGTATTACATGATGATACGTTGCAGCCAAAAAACTTTGAATAATTTTTGTTCCAATTATCTGCTTTCTCTTTCAGTGGTGGAAAGAGGTAAAACAAACAAAACTAGGAACTTTTATCTGTACTTTACAAAAGAAACGTATATACATATTGTGTCTTATACTTGGTAAATGAAATTGCCTCAACATACTAAAGACCAATAGGTTAAAAAAATTAGAGAAATATACCGTGAAAAACTATAAAAAACTGATATATTGATAAAAGTAAAAAAAAAGTTGAATTAAGACTTTGGAAGCTGTATCAGTTGTGAGATCTTCTGCTGAACAATCAAAAGTTCATTTTTAAGGGAGTGGCTAAGGTTCGGTACACCATTCAACGTAGGTTCCTTTGAAAGATTGACGACCTGGCAAGGAACAAATAAAACATATCACACCAAGATCTACAAAAAAACTGTATTAGAAACATACAAGGGAAGCCATTTATCCAGTTAGTAAAAGCATTAGTCAGTTTGATAGAAGGAAAAAAAACGAAAATTAATCATATTGTGAGGTTTGAATAATTTATACAAAATGTTTTCTAATTTATAATTTGTATAAAAAGCTGAATGTCAACTGTGATACTAATCTAATTTAGCACTGCATCAATGTAGTGGCACCATCTGTCTTTGGGAATGTTTAGTTTGAACTTTAATATCAATCTTCATTATTACTACTATTTAAAAAAAATCAAAGTATCTTAGTCTTAAAAAATTAAAATATTCCTAGTGGTTACTTACGAAAAAAAAAGGATAGCAATAAAACTACTCAATCACAGAAGTCCTGAAACAATTGTGCAGAACCATCAGTCATAAATAAAGAAAAAAAAATTGTGATTTTAGATAATTCTAAACAAATTCTTGGGATAAAAATTGTAATTATAAATTATGTAAAAAAAAAGACAGAACTTTTTACGAATATAGTACCAACTTTGTGCTCTTAACAATGACAACATTAATAACAATAAACTGAAAAGGAAACACCATTTACCGTTCCATCTCCCAAGGAAACGGTAACACCCGGTTTTTTATTTTGGACATCTGATATATTTTGTAGTGGACTACCACCTAGAGACATGATGATTTCTCCAACTTTTGGTTGACGTAGGGCTGCTAAGTTGAGGGGGAGTCTGTAAAGGTTAGAATCAAACATAGATCTGTTAGGTATACATTTATGAAGGAGTAAACAATAGAAATTAGTAAAATTCAGAACACAGTACAATTTAATTTTGGATATTTAACAACTCGCTTGGATACAATACTGTACACTCCATGTCTAATATCTTAACTTGTGTCCCCCCCTTTATTATAAAAATAAATCAAGTTATAGCTGCTAAAGAAACATTCCTTTCCCACAGATAAAACTCATGAGATTGAAAATCAGATGAATTACAAAATATGAAAGAATACAAGTATTTTTCACGTGCTGGTTTAGAGACAAGTTTAGTAACCAGTAGCACTGCCTCACACAGAATTCCCATAGCCCTAATCTAATCAACTTGTTTGTTGTCAAGTGCAAAGCTACACAAGGGACTATCTGTGCTGTGCTCGTAGTGGATATCGAAACTTGATTTACAGCATTATAAGCTCCGACTTACTGCTGAGCCACTTGGAAGTATTTAACAACTAAATCAAACGAATTGTGTTTATCATTAATTATGTTTTAGTAAAGTAAACCACGATAGTGTAATAAAACATAATTAATTGCTACTAAAACTTCAATCATGACAACAGAAAAGCGTGGTTAGGCAAGCGACAGACAGACCTAACGAGAAAGCAAGAAACAGGCTCTGCCGAGACACAAAATTGTAGGGAATGACGCACATTCATTTCAGTTGATTGAAAACTTAAGCCTTGTATAGCATGTGTCTCGCAAATCAAAAAGACCGCCACTGTATATCAGTTATGTTTAAAATGTCTTAAACTAACATTAACCTACCTTTGGAAAAATATGTTTGCCATGAACATAAAATCAACTTAATAGTAGCAACATCCTTAAACTGGCCTATGCTTACAGTATAGGCTTTATGGGTTTTAGTTGCTGAAGTCTACGAGTAAGATAACATTATAATCTCATAGTAACATGATTTGTTCTAAAGAAGAAAAGCAGGCAATACTTTGGATCAAACTTTGGTGTGACAGCTGGAGTAGTGTGAACAGCTTCAACAGAACTTGTGGTTTTTGTGCTTAGAGGTGTAGTAGAATGTTCCTGAAGATTCATTAAGGCCTTTCGCGACGATCTGGTGATCCTCTGGGTTTTAGCGGATTGGGTAGCTGATTTACAGGGCCGTCCCTAATGAAATTTCAATAAAAAAAACAAAAAAAACATTATAGTTACAAATAACTTATTTCTCTACAAAGAAAATTAATCTATTCTGTAACATCATACAAATCACAAATGTTTACACTGGACTATTATTGAATACTTGTGTATATATATATATATATATATGTAAAGGGTTTTTGTTATTTC